AAATCTTAAAAAAAAAAAAAAAAAAGACAGACACTCTTCACACACGCCTGCCAAGAGCTGGTTATGCAACCCAACAGCAACACCTAAGGACTCTTGCAGACTGGAATTAAGGAGAAAGTTACATTACCTACCACTCCCAAGAAAGTCTTTCTAAATACATTTCTTCACTGTTAATCGCCTGAGAAAAAACGTCCCAGGCTTTGTTTATTTAGACAAACAGAAGATGAAAGTCAACACCAGTGCTTATCTGGTGATTAGAGGCACATCCCAGAGGCTGCCTCAGTCTCCCTAACCTGTGATAGCATCTCTGGGTAATGAGTATGTTTGACTGGGAAGGGGAAAGAGCCCAGAAGCTTTGGGAATGAAGATGGACGGGCAAAGAGTACCTGAGGGCCCTGGGGAGAAGAAGGGCAAAGGCCACTCCTGCACAGGATGGGCACAAACAAGGAAGGTGACAACATCTGTCGGTTTCGACACTTGGTCCCAAGCCTCCCTGGGCAAAGAGGAAGGAAATGTGCTGGGCTTCCTTCTCTGGTGTCCCCTCTTCCTTCCCAGACCGCCCCAAATCAACCAATTACTAGCATTAGCCTCCTACACTGGTCATCCAAAGTTCGAGAAAGCCACAATGTCTTTCTATATGAAGATGGCACTCCGGGCTCAAACAACACTTCAAAACCTTGAAATATGAGCGTTTGGGGGCTTCCGGACCACCTGCACCTTTAAAAGGGCCCTTGAACAGATTCATTCTGGACCATCCAATACTACCCAGGCCCAATCCTACTTAGCTTCTGAGATCAGATGAAATCTGGAGGATTAGGATGGCATGGCCCTAGACTCAGTTATTTCTCTATTGCATCAGACACCCTTTTAACTACATCTGTGCAACAATGAACCCAAATGAATGTCAAAAAAAAAATATTACCTATTAAGTACAATACCTTGGGATTCATAAATCAAGGCACCCAGTAGATATTTGAGCCTTAGTTTTTCAAAAATGTGTCTATAATGTGAAAGAATCTGAAATTTGATCCCCAGGAAAAGGGGGAGGGAAAGAATTAATAACTGTGACTTGGCTGGGTCTGGTGGCTTTAATCCCAGCATCCCAGCATTCCAGGAGGCAGAGGCAGAGGCAGATAGATCTCTGTGAGTTGGAGGTCTGCCTAGTCTACAGTGTGTTCCAGGACAGCCAGGACTACCTAGAGATCTTGTCTCAAAACACACACACACAAACAAAAGGAACTGAGACTTGATGGTGATATTCCATATGGTAGGAGACAATCAAGGATGGGACTAGCAACAATGATGTGCATGCCACTTCGCCCAAGATCCATACACCGTCAGAGGAAGCTATGTAACAGGATCCCAAAATACTGCACTTCAGGAGAGAATTATACCAGAGGACAAGGAGGCTCCAGACACAAGTGCGTGTCCTGATGCACCGAACTAACAAGTCAAGATGGGCAGACAGGCTTCCCTTAAAAGGGTGTTTCAGCCAAGTCAGCAAAGAAAGGCTGTTTATGAAACACAGTACCCTCAATCCCACACAGCAGAAACACGGGGGTTCTCAGGCGTTTTTCTGTTAGACCAGACTCTTGCTAACGTGAGTGTCACTTAGCACTGGACTCCTCACACATTATGGCACAGTATATTACTATGTATCAGTGCGACAGATTTCTTTCCGCTACTTGGCTCACGAGCAAAGGGTCTTTCATCATTTCTGCACTTTTCCAAATCCATTTGAGGTGGCAGAAAGAAAAAACTCAAACGATGTCCCACAGCTTTCCTTGAACATCTGAGCCGGTACCGGCCTGCTGGGCAGAACGCAAACAGGAACCCGCTGGCAGGGTCCGTGCCCTTGCAGAGCCATCCAGGGTGGCCTTTCCCCTTTTAACACCCAAGGGTACAGTGATCATTCAGTCCTACTCACTCGCGCCCTCCTCCCCACGCAAGGCTCAGAAACTAAACCCAACTTCTCGCCGCCCTCTCTGGATCAGGTCCCCCGCATCCCGCGCGTCTCCGCAGCCCCAGATCTACACGTGCTTCTGCGCCTGGGCTCCGGCCCTCCTCGCCCAGCAGGCGAGCGACCCACGGAGGGCGCAACGGCAGGGTGACTCGCGGCCGGCCCGCCGTCCGTCCGTCCGTCCGTCCGTCCGTCCGTCAAGTGCCCCGGCGCAGGCCCTCGGCACCCGGGAGGCGCGAGGCCGGCTGTCACGGCGCCGAAGCACTCACGAGGCCTGGAAAGGCGGGATGGCGCTCCGGGAGTCGGGGCTTCGCCCTCCGGGCGGCAGTTAGCTCCTCCCCGAAGGCCGCCCGCCCGCCTTCCGAGGGCCGGAACGCCGCGGCAAGCACAGCCCCGGCCGCCCGGAGTTCCCAACGCGCGCGTCCGAGCGGGAG